TTAGGATATAGTTAAAAAATAATTATAAAAGTTATCCAATGTCCTATATTTTAGACTAAATAAGGTTTCTAGAAGATGTCTTATATTGTAGTCTGGAGAATATATAAATAAACAGTTTAGATTACATGGCACCTTTCATGTGTACTTTCTTCGTTTTTATATATAAGATATTTTTTAAAAGCTTATTTTGTCCTAAATATAAGGTGTATCATAATACTTTTGAGTAATTAGACAATTTTTTCTTTGCCTTAAAAAATAAAAGAAATATTAATTATGCACTCTACCCATTATATATTATCACTATAATATTAATTGTAACATTATCAGGGGCAAAACTAGAAAATCATCATGATTTTATGTGATTTCAAATAAATAATAAAGTTTTATTGATACGCAAGATTTGATTAAAATCACCTTATATATATGAATAGAGATAATATATATATATATATATTTATATATGCAAATGGTGAATTATCCAGCATACTTCAACACATTAAATCCATATCGTGCATGCATGTTCATATGTTAAAGCCTAAATATGGTACATGCATGCATAATTGGTGGTGAATATGGAAACTCTTTATTAAAAAAAAAAACATTAATTAGGTTAGAGACAAGGTTAGCTGGGATTATAGGGATGAATTCTAAAAATTAATTATTACGAATTGGTGGCGTAAAATTAGGGCACCGTGGTGGTTAGGGTTTTAACGTTAATAGCTTTCATGTCAAGGGAGACACACACACACACACACACACACACTCTCTCTCTCTCTCTCTCTCTCTCTTCTCTCTCTCTCTCTCTCTCTCTCTCTCTCTCTGTGCGTGTTTCCTATGAGATAAAGTACATAAATAATAATCAAATTAAAGTAGTATATTTATGATATTTAATTACAGTTTACGGTGGTAATGTAATCTTGTTGATTGTAACTTTTTCAGAGACAAAAAGGGGTAACAGCTAATTTCCATTACCGTCAAATTAAAGCTTTTCCCTCTCTCGGACGCCTTCTCTCTGGCAGTCAAACCCAGCCTTCCAAAAAATGAGGTAGATGATCACAAGCTCAAGCCCCTTCATTCCCCTGGACTCACAAAAAGCCTGCCATTCTGCAACTTCTCAATTATAATCAATGAATATATTTATGTGTAAAAAACATAATTTAGTTATATTTGAAAACATTTGCGCCTCTAGCTCTCTTAAAAAAGAAAGAAAGAAAAAAAACACCTGTCCCTCTTGAAGCGTTTAAAATTTTCAATGAAAAAAATATCTTAAAATAATAATTTTTTTTAAAAAAATTCAAAGTCAGTGCTAATTTTTTTAGAAAGATCTTAAAACATTTAGTCTTGTGCTTTTAAAAATTACAAAGAAATTGCTTAAAATTATTTTTTAATTTGGAATAAATAAAATTAAACAGTAACTTTGATTTTTATAAATAATTATAAATTTTTTTCAAACATAATTGAAAGTGAATTTTATAAATTTTGATTACTTTTAACATATATTAATCATGTTTTTTCAGAAGAATCATCCTGTCTATTTTTTTCTTTTTTAAACTTTCGCCCTGCGAGTTGAGTCCTTTAATGCGTGTTTCTCCATAATTAGCACCATTTGAATGAAGAAGAGGAGGAAAAAAAATAATAATAAAAAGGAGACCCATGTCTCTAGTACTACTAGTATTCATTCATTTCTTCTCTCTGTGTGTGTGTGTGTGTGAAGGATAGCGAAAACCCCAAAACACAAGGCGGAGCAATCATCATGTCTTCTTCCCTCTTCGTCTCATCATTATTCCGTCCTCGCTTTCATCATCACCACCTCCCACCAACCGCACAAAAGCCATCATCTTCCTCTCAGACCACTCTTCCACAAGCAACAGAGAGAAACCAGATCTTCTCATCGTCAGAGAAGGGTTAGAGCAGACCAAGAAGATGCTTTCCCTCAAGAAGAAAAAACCCTAGCGGTCTTCTCCTCCTCCTCCTTCTTTTGACGCTGCTTTCTTCTCTCTCTCTCTCTTCTCGGGGAATTGAAGCCTTGTGGTCCGACATATACTACCTACTCTTGGCTAGATCAACCAAATCTAGCCACGCCCTTTATTTACTAATATGCTTTCTTTCTTATATTCCTCTCACAGCTTCTTCCATAGTTTCTGCTTTGGTTTGATTCAGCTGATTGATTGCGTGTGGTATCGTACGTGTTTGTGGGCTTGCTGTTTTATATATCTTCATGATATGATCGATGATGACTTTCTGATCTCCCTCTCGTGTTGTTAATGGCTGTAAATTGGATTATATTGAAGAACATCGAATTGTGGTTCTAATTAACTAGAGTTTGGAGACGTAGAGATCTGGATTTTTCCCATGTGTATGTACGTTATTAATAAATGTTATTCTTGAGGGTAGCAATTGGAATGTTTCTGAATCTACTATGTTGTGTACTGTAGACTTTAATGGTTATCATCATGATGCCCTCTCTCTCTCTCTTTCTCTCTCTCTCATTTGGTTCCTTTCTTGAAACGGGTAGGGTTTCATTTATCATTACTATTTACTCTTTAGGGTGTTGAAATGTCTTTATTCCAGATATGGTCAAGCATGTAGGTTTGATTTACATGTTTCATCCATTCCTTTCTACTTCACCTGATCTTCGATCGGAATAACATAAAAATAGATGGAGAGATACCCTGAGTATTAATCAATATTTTGTCCAATTCTTAGCACTGAAGGCTTTTTCTGGCGTTTTCCCATTTCAATTGATTATCAGATGTTTAAATTCATATGATGAAGCTATATATCCCTTTGATATTTCTTCTGCATTTAAAGAGATCTAGGGATATCGCATTTTAGATATATCACTGCAAAACTCAGCAACTAAACTATACTCCTTTGTGTGCATCCTCGACATTCGCTAATAAAAAGTTACAAACTACAAGTTTCAACTGTGCTGTCTGTGCATAACTGTTGATTATAGCTATGAGATGTATTACTGTCTCTGATCTCACCGTAATTACTTTAATTTACTGCATGTACTGGCCTTCGGTCTGAAATAGTAGGTGGAAAAACAAAATCAATAGGCTTGATTCTGAGAATCTTACACACACTACACTCACGCATGAGAAGGCATATAAAATTGAAAATATATTTAAGAATACCATCACTCACCGGGAATAAAAATATAACTTGTTACAATTTTTTTTTTAAATTTCCATTTCATCCATCGTTTCTAAAAATTGACTATTTTAGTATTAGTAAAAAGCATATTTCGTAATTGTTGTTGGTACACGGATATTTCGAACTAACTTTACTGGAAGTCATATTGCACCGCATCTTCTAATTTTATGTGAAATCTCTCTAATCTTTTAAAACAAAGGAGGAGGTCTCGCGTAGTAATAAATATCTTTGTAAGTTTAAACCATAAAAATAATCAATATAGTTAGTTTGAGAACTGTCACGCCCGCTTGGAGAAAGTAATCAATAGATTTTGATCTTTTCAAGAAAAAGATCATCAGCTCCCTATCCACTATATCGTTTTTTTTTTTAAAAAAACTTGGAGAATGACAAAGAAATCAAAGAAGAAGAATTTAAGAGAATCGAATTTTGTACGCCCATCAGCTTTTAAAACACGGGATTTGAAATCGATCACTGTGTGTGTGTGTGTGTTTATAGACTAGTACATAGCATGTGAAGCGATTCAGAGGTTTATACATAGGTTAGATTCTGTTTACATTTTGGGTCAACATATTACACTTTTGCTTTGTCCTTCCTAAACGCAATAATAGCTGTTAAGCACGCCCACTCGTCTCCATTAATTTTCATGTCTTGTACTTGTACTGCCATCTTTGAAATTTATTTTAAGCCCATATATATATATATATATATATTAATATTAGTCAATAAATTAAAATTCATAATAAATCGCCTTATTCATAAAACCGTGTTACTCATACCGCTTGGGGTGCTTCCTATAATTAATTAACTGTAACTAATGAAGCATATTATTTCATGCTCGCAAGTGATCAGTGTTGGTTGTTGAATGCTGAAAGAATAATGTGCAAATATCCATGTATGTATTTTTTTTTTTTTTGTGTCCTCTCCATTTGAAATCCCTTCATGCATGTATCTCCATCCCAATGAATTTCTAGTCTTTAATCTTTAATTCAATCTAATTGTTGTTAAGATTGATCATTCTTATAGATTCCTGAGACAAATCCTATGAATTAGAATTATCTCCATTTGAAATCCTATGAAGCTGGCACAAAGGCTTAGAAAGCAAGCTAGGTAGTCAAATAATATCTACACTTACTAAATTTTATTACTTCAAATTGAATGAACTATAATACCATTACCAAACTTAACTATAAGCTTGAAAGGTCTTCTACACACTGGTTTTTATTTTAATCACATCCAGAAGGTTTGAATTATGACATCAGTTGTATAAGGAACTGTGGTAACAATAAATAACACGTTGTACATAATTTAACATGAAAAATTTAAAAGGATTGCGATGAAGCATTGCTGAAGCAGTGCGACTGGTTAATGAGGGAGGGATTATTATTATTATTATTATTATTATTATTATTATTATTATTCACTAATAATATTCTAACAGCTGTACGCGTCCTTCTTTTCTTCGCACCTTCCTATCCTCTTCTTTTGCAATGCGTTCATCAGCTGGCTCAGCTTCTGTCGTACCTGTGTTCTCAATTTAAAACTAATCTGATTGATTAAAACCTTGATTTGACTTCATCAACAATCGTCCTGGCCCACTGAGAATTGGTAGCCCAAAATAGACGCCAACGCGCTAAGTAAATTATCCTTCCGGGTTCAAGGGCTTGGCCGATATTTTTTTATTATTTGGGCCTATATATTTTGTGGCTTTTGGCCCAAAATCTGGGCCCATCAGTAGAAAACTGGGACTAGAGGGAAACGACAAAAAAGCGGCCTGGCCCACATACTTCTGATCGGGAGCTGCACAGGGTTGTTTATTACTTTATTTATTTTCCGTCTTCTCCCAAGTTCTTACAAGTTACAACCCCGACCTGCGCTCACGGCGTTCCCGTCGTGCGCTAACCGGACGGCCATTGTTTTCCCGGCGTGCGCTGTGACTATCTCTCTTCGTCCTTCGATATTATTATCGCTTCGTTGTCCTATTGTTCTCTCCGCTTCCATTAAAAGTTGAGTACACCTCAACCCTTTATCCTTCTCTCTTGCCGCGAATCCTCTATTCAAACCTCTAGAGTCCTGGCATAATTATATTCTGTAAAAGGTGCTCCATTTTTTCGAGTGGCTTTCTCTCTTTGAGCTTCCAGTTGAAGCATGGGATTAGGGCATCCCTGTTTGCTTTCCGATCCATTGTATTGATGCATCTCGCGCGAGTTGGAGCATTTGTCTTTGAAGAATTCTCTTCCAAGTTCATTGTTTAGGGTTTTTGTTATCGATATGTCTGATACTTCGAGGAGTCTAGTTACCATTACACTTGGGCGTAGTGGTCAGGTACTTTTTTTTATTTTTTGGCTTCAAATGTTTGATATCTTTTTTTTTTCTTTTAATTTTCTTTTCTGCTTTGCATTCTTAGAAGTTCTCAGTGTAGTTTTTGCTGCTTCGAATTTTTACGAACTGGATTAATTTGAATTGGCTTTTCTCGTAAATGCTTCATTGAATGATGGCGGGTGATTTTAATTGAAGTCTTTTGATTTCAGTTCTTTTTTCTTTACTTTTGTCTTTTATGAAGTGTTTTGTAAGAGAGAGAAAAACTCAGTCATTGTTGAAATCCTTTTTTTTTTTAATGGTCAGATGCTATGCGTGGAAAATATATGAAAGAACTTCAACTTTTTTACTTTACTCTATTATAAGTTCTGTTCTGGATCATGATGGGTTTAACCGACTTTATTCGAATGAGCTACCATGCATTTGGATATAGGTTGTCAAGAGGGACCACTCTACGGCGGATGTTTCTTTCCCTTCCTTTCCCCCAGTTGGCACGAAAAGGTCTGTGAGAGATAGACTTGGCAATGATGCAGAGAGTTCCTTTTGGAATGGAAATGAACTCAGCAATTATAAACGGTGTGTTTGCTATTCCTTTTGTCCCTATTGCTATTCCTGTAGTTGTCAGGACGGTGATGCATAATACACATCATTTGCATTGAGATTCTCTGTTTTGTTCAGAAGCTTCACCGTGAATAATATGTCAATAGGCTATTTAAATTGGGAAAAAATGGTGTACTGGACCCTCTAATAGTCAGTAATGTTTGTGGAAGTGCTGCTTGTGGGTCTGGATATTATTAAAATATGCAATATCATTTTTTTTTTTTTTACATCAAAGACTTTGTTCATTTCCACTGCAGACAGCGGGGAGATATAAGCTTGCAAAATGGGTTCAATGGTGGTAAGCTTCCTCTACCATGAATTTTTATTTGGACAGTATTTATGATGCTTAATTTCTATAGTCTTAATCACATCACCATCATTTATTAGATGGGCGAATTGGCAAAGATGACCTTCGTTTGAAGCTTATGCGAAAAAATGCATCTCGATTGGCTGAGAGCAATGGTGGTAAGAGGCATATGGACCTTCGTGAAAAATTGTCAAAGGCAGCTCAACCTGCTGCAGTCAATATTAATTCAAAGCAGAACTTGCCTGAACCAAGGGAAACAAGCATGTTGGGCCGAATCCCCTCTTCTAGAAGTTCTGGTGACTTAGCACGTATGGAATCAGTGAGAAGTTCATATTCACCTTGGACATTGGATCATATTAGGAGAAGATCACCTGATGGGTTTTTAAGCACTTCCAGGGGAATTTCCCCTCAAAGAAACATGGAAGACCTGCAGAGAAGGCCTTCAAACAAGAAATATGATAATATCAGGTCAGCCCCATATGTAAACAGGGATGCTGTTGAGACTTCAAGACCTCCGAGCACTGCACCATCTTTTGTTGCACATCCCACAGCATCCACATTACCTCTAGCAACTGCTAAGCCTGTAGCACCTCATCAAGGGCAACTTCCGGCACCACGGACTCCATATGTGGTAAATTCTACTTAGCATTTGACTTTCCAAATTGCTTTTCTCCGATGCTACTCCCAATGTTAATGGAGAAACTTTTCCCACAATTAACTGCTTATCTTGACTTCTTCCTTCTGTTATATCTAGAGTTCATTGCCCCATGTGATGTGGTCCAAGGCTGTCAACTCTCCCCCTTCCAAAAGAAATTGAAAAATTCTTTGTTTATGAAACCTTAAAGAACTAATTGAATTCCATGGTAATCTTTATGAGTTATTGGGTTGGGTTTAGGGTTTTCGCTATCCCTAAAGTAACTGTATTGTTTTTTTGGGAATGAAAGGTCATTGTTACCCATATAACATCCCTAAACTAACTGTATCGTTTTGAAATATTCAAAGTAGGCTTTTAGGACTGAATGAATTGGTGTCTGCAAGGTGCCTTAGGCAAGCACCTGGCTGAAGATGCCTCGCCTCAACCTGCAAGAGGTGTGGGGAGCTTTTAGCACCTTGCCTCATGCAAATGAGTGCCTTTAACAGTAAGTTACTGATTGTGATTTCCATGTTGGGAGCTAAATCAGGAGGGTCAGTACATTTTGAATCTCCCTGCCCATTGAGATTTTTCTCAGTTCTACAACAACAACAACAACAAGCCTTATCCCACTAGGTGGGGTTGGTTGCATGGATTGCATTATGCCATTGTGCTCTATCATCTTAGAAGCTCCACATCTGGTTGAAATGCTTTCCAGTAGACTGGTCAAATTTGAGGTCATAATGGAGTTGTAGAATTGGTCCATTTGAGTTAACTTTGGCTGTAATTTGAAAAGGAAAAAAAAAATGAGCTTGTAATAGTTTTGACCCCCCTCTACCTTGCCTTATATTTCATTTATGGATGATCTGATGGCCATAAGTTGTGGGTGTACAGATTGGATGTTGTTAGCTAGAGTTGTTATTGAACATCTGATGTAAGAAGTAAGAATTACTTTAACTTTGAATCTGCAATTGAAAGGTTGTTGTTCTTCAAAGTTTGCTTTTATTGTTACTATTGGGAGCTAGCAAGCATGCTTCAATGAACAAATTGTGAATGTGATGGTGGCTATTCAGTGCTATTCAAGCAGAAACGACGGGCAAACAAGTCCTGTTGCATTTCTCTATTGCTAGTTGCTTGAATGCTGGTTTAGTTGTAGTTATATTCTGAGTGAGATGCTGGTTTTCTTGGGGAAGATAGTTTCTGTTTATATTGTGGACAGTTTCTGGCGTCTTAGTTTTAGTTTCTTTGTAGGAACTTTGACATCTTTGAAATTGAGGAGTATTGTGCCTTGAAGACAAGTATATATTATTTTTATATAGTCTCATCTCCCATGCACGTGTGACATCAAAAGTGGCTAAAGTTGTAATTCTATCAAGTTCTCTGAGCAGAGCAAGCTTAGTGTTTTACTGACATGTGAATTGGTTATCATGTAGGGCAATGAACAGAAGACACCCCAAACTGTTGATGGCCTGTTGCATGCATTGGGACTGGGAAAATATGCCATTCTTTTTAAAGCTGAGGAAGTACGTAGTTTATTTATTTATCTAATGGCTTGTCTTGGTATATTTTCAACCTTATTTCATGTTGAGTTATACTTTGTTCAAAGAAATGTAAAGTTATCAAGTCATTGACCAGTGAAGGATTCGTAATGTGATTGGGAATGTCTTTTATTTGAATGGGGCACGTTGACTTTTCAATTGTCTGTAATAGGAACTAACGTTGAGCATCTTTTTTGCCCCATGATTTTTTTTTCTTATTTTTGTTGCTTTATTTTATTCTTTTCCCATGTCAATGCACAGTGGATTAAGGGCCCATTTGGTTCAATTCAGATTACTATGGTGATGGTAAATTACCATTAAAGATGCGTTTGGTTGTGCTTTGGGGTTGGGCCATGGTAATCTTGATCACCAAAAACATGGCAATCAAGATTCATACCTCCTCCTCCTATGAATGATGATTGCAGGTTGGAGAAAGTCAGTTTTACCATCCAAATCATCTCTCTCTCTCTTTCCCAGCGTCTTTCCTCCCTTCCCTTTCTCCTTTCCTGATCATCTGCTGCCCCCCTCTGCACTGCCACCACTACCTCTCCTCTCCTTCCTCCTCCTTCCTTCCTGCCTCTCCAATGTCAGAATCTGCACCATTGACGTCACTAGTGCCAGCATCATGGATTTCCAGATCATGGATTTCCTAATTGTGGAGCCTTCTTCTCCAGCACTGACAAACCTTTATGACCCGTGTTCAACTCCACCTTTATCATTCCCCCACTTCCACTGTTGCTTGCACCTGCCCTCCTGGCGTTGCTCACACCTGCCTGCCACCACTAGCATCTTGATCTTTGAAATGAGTTTCAGATTTGAGCTTTCAGATCTGTGTTTCGGATTTGATTTTTATGATGTTGTGTCTTGCATTTGATTGTTAGAAATAGGGAGGTTTTATAATACTCCGTTGAAGGGGAGCTTGTATCCGCCATAGGGATGAAGGAAGAAATTTTGTGGGGGTATATTGGCCTCTGGTTTCTGATATGTGATTTTGCTGCGGAGATTTTTCTGTGAAGATTTTGATGGAGAGGGAAGGGGAAATTTACCTTGTCTAGGGCCAAAAGTGTCATTTCGCATTTTTTAAATTTTTGTTTGATAAAAAAATATCATTCCATCGAATTTTATACCATACCAAAACAAACTTATTGTAATCAATATTACATTCCATTGCATTCCCATGTAGGTCTGTAATTGAACCAAATGGGTTAGTCTATTTTTGACCGTTTCCAAATTTTGGGATATGTCACTAGAGTTTTATATTTTCCACATGACACGAATGAGATCTCTGGTTCTTTGAATCTTTCATAATTACAGCCTAAGGCTCACTCCATGATCCAAAGTACTTAAAAATAACATGGTGTCTATAGTCTTTATTTATTATTTTTTGTCCCTGTGTTCGCTTTAGTAATTAGTTTTCATCCCCTAACATAGGGTTTATAAATTAGGAATATAGGAAGGAAAATCTTAGTCTTTGATGACTTAAAAGAGACATTCCTGCATTTTGCCATCACTTTTGAGCCTTTTTTCCCCCTTCATTTCTAGGCTGTCATTTCAATCCATCTAGTGGGGAGTAGAAACTCATGAAATTTTAGCCCTTGAATAGATGTTTGGGAAGTCGGGCCTAAATCGAGAAGGATGCATTTTATCTTCCAAGGACCCTGATTTGCTCATGGCTGAAAGTATATCTCCTGCTATAATGCTTGACAGCTTGAACTTTCAGCACAATTTGACTTTTAGAGTCTATACTATGCAGTTGGCAACCTCTTGAATTGTAACGATAATATGATTATGATTACAAAAGTATGAATTATAATTATTATAATGACAATAATATAATTTGATTATTTGTCATGCAGGTGGATATGACTGCACTAAAGCAGATGAGAGAAAATGACCTTAAAGAGATTGGGATTCCCATGGTAATAGGCTATAGACCTTTTTTCTTTTAACTATCATTTTGTTACTATTTTTTTCATTTATGCCATATGCTTTGTTAATTTCAATTGAATATTCAACCACATATATGGAGGAGGATGAAGCTTAGGTTGAATTGTGAACATCACTTTGAGCCACATATGCATATTCAATGTCATTTTTTGGCCATGCTAAAAGTTGTCTTGTTCATGCATCATTAATCATATGATGGTTGTTAATCTAAGGTTCTCTGCTTCTGTTCGTTGCTACATGCTTCTGCTTCTGCTTCTTATTTACGTGCTCTAGTGCATATGCTGAGTTGGTTTATAGATTTATCTGTGTTCCTGATTTGTTGCTCGAGTTACAGGGTCCGCGGAAAAAAATTCTGCTTGCTCTCTTGCCTCGTGCCAAACGTCAACCATGACATCTATCCTGCATGATGTAGAGGCTGATGCATGTTGGGATCACCAGGTTTTTATGGGTGACGAACACACATTTCTGAGAATCACCACTTGAGAATAGCGTGCCTTGACCTCTTGTGGGGTTGAGCTCCAATGTATCCACTTGCTCATTTTTTGCATTCAAGAACGCTATTTTTAGGTTTCAATGAGAAGTATTTATGTGTAAAGGATTCTCTTTCTTGTATTTCTATGGGAGTATGAAATGGATTTATTTAAAATGTCCTGAACAGAAGTTGATGTTTGTGTAACTTTTTGTCTGAAGATAGTGCTTGGCATTCAGCAAGATTTTGTTGTGTCAGCAAAACACATTGAATATTTTCAGCCCCCTTTTTTCGTGACGAGTATTCATTGTAAGCATCAAATGCCTACTTTTCCTCAAAATTGGTAGGCGATTCATTCCTTGAAGATATCATCGCCTTTGTTGAGACAAATTGATTTCACATTTTCATGGTAAGTTAGTGCAGTATTTTCGAAGATGGTGTGAATGTCTTGTACCACAGTCGCAAAGCACTAATGGTATCAAATGCTGCCATCTGTTCTTTTCCCCCTTAATTTTCCTGCCACTTGGCAATACGCAAGAGAAAGCACTCTTTTTTTTTTATTATTGTACTTAATATGTATTGTCAAATCCCCATATTCTGTGAATTCTTGCTATTATAATGAGATTGAAAAGGAACTCTTCACAATTTAATATATCAGTCTTGTAATCGTGTCACCTTTCTATTCCGTGATTTCTATTGCGGATCACTTAAAAAAACAACAGAGAATAAATGAAAATATTATGCTTTCTATCTTTCTCGTTACTTAAATAAGTTAAGGAAAATTATACAGTAGTGCTTTACAATACAATGAAAAATTACAAGATTTGTTAACCTGGCACAGTAAATTATACTGTGGGGAGCCTCAATGTAATAAGTTTTGTTGCAGTTGTAAATTATTTCAATTTTACACTAGATACAACGAAGGATCATTTGCAGGTCTCGCATATCTCTAGACTAAAATTCATATCATAATCATCTCTAACCAGTGATCAAAGTTCTCTCTTTTTCTTTAATCCCTATGTTAGAATCCAACCTTATTCTTTGATTTAAAAAGAAAGAAAGAAAGAAAGAGAGAATCCGAGCTAATTAAAAGTATAGTAACTCATCCAGGTCATGAATTTTACCCAGTTCATTTCTATTGCGTAATTTTAAGCAAAGACAATGCAGATAACTATAAGTCTCAAGTGCTCAATCATTAAAAAATATGCATAGTCAACGACGTCTTTGAATTCCCTTGCCAGTCTACGTGGATCAGCTCTAAATTATTCTTTCTTCAACGCTGTCTTGAACAGTCTCGTAGTCCCACAAAACCAAGATAGTCTCTCTTTTTCAACTTTAATTGAGAATCAACAGATTCTCTCATCAATACACTTCTCTTTAGCAGCAGTTCTTTTTAAGTCAGTTTCAAGTAAAATTATAATGGAATTTGGTTGTTGGGAAGTACCTTCCTTGGCGCTTCAAGACTACGCTTTCATTCAACAATGATCCTGACGTCATCTTTAGCATATGCATACCCCTTCAATTCAAACCCCATTCTCTAATCATCAAAATATACATAGATATACTTATATATATATATATATAAGATATAATTTTCAATAAAAAACAAATATTTCTTAAAATATTGTAAACAGTGGGGAGCTTATTGCAACAAACCTGCCAGGCACTAAAAAGGAGGGTGAAATTTCCGGGTGAGAGAACTTAACTTTAGAAACAAATTGAGTGCTCTTGATACGTCAGTATTTGGTATGAGCAGACATTTCAAATCAATGTGTTCCTTCTCGGAAGGAACAATATTTGTTGAGAAGGAACAATATTTGTTGTTCTGAAATTCTAATGGAGTTTTTTCAAACCCTAGTCAGTTTTGGCATTCTGTGAGGACTCACAGGATAATTAAAAAACCCACTTTGAATTTGTCCAGAAGAGAAGCCATGAGATAGTGGTGGGAGAAACTGTACCTGATGAGAAGTAGGGACCACTGTATGATACTCCAAAAACCAACGTGTAATGTAATTGGATTAACCATCAATCAATCAGCCAACCCACCCACTTACATTGATTAGCCAATAGCCACCATAACCCAATCTCTCCCATGAAGCTGCCTTTTTATTCCACAGATTGGGATAGCGATATGCTTGATGACAGCATTCCTACTTGGAAATTCTCCTTCACAAAGCAAGAAAAAGCAACTTGAATAAACTTGAAGTAATAAAAAGAAAAAAGGAGAGGGAATTGATGAGCATGAAACATTAATTGGTAGAAGAAGTCCAACAATTGAAGATATGGGCTGAGACAATGGAATAAAACACAATCTCATGGTTTTTAAATTGTCCCAAAAGCAACAAAAGTGTGGGGTCCAACCAGAAGAAACAACTGTCCAACGCTAATCCGCCTTTTATTTTTTGTAGGATTATTGTAGAATAAAGATTACTTGATGACCTAATTCCCCTGGAAACTTATGCTGCAAAAAGTATAAGATGTAGGCTTCGCTTGCTCTGTGAAGATATGCCCAGATCTTGTGGACGACATTTTATTAGTATATATGCTGACATCATAACCCCACTTCTTATATTCCTTCATTTAGCAACTGCCACTTCTTTACCATTATCGTAGCATTAATAAAACATGGTCAAGATGAACAGACTAAGATTTTTTTTTTAATTATTTGTATATGTGGGTGGTGGGACAATTACTGAGAAGCTTCAACTAATGCTGAATAATCTCATTTGCTACAGATACTTTGAGAATTTTAATTGTTAACTTCAATTGAAAGAACAGTAGTAGATGAAACTGGGCAACATTGGCATCCATAAACAATAATCTTAATAATATTACGAAGAGCTTAGGTAGAGGACAATGCTAGAATCCACTAAAGGACAATACAGGAATCCACTAAGTCATTGGTTGGTCAGGTAAAATAATACTAGATATGCATTTTAGTACAGAAGCAGATATGTTGTTAATTAATTAAGGTATAGGACCCTGCCTTCCAGATGATTACATCCTATCTTTCTTTGACTTTTGCAGCTACAGTTAGTTTATAACATTAATCATGTCTTAAGTATGGAATATTTATCTTTCTCGTAAGGAATAAACAAAAGCCAAGTGGTATTATAATTACATGTTAATATATTATCAAGTGCTTTTACGCCATCTAATTTCCCCTTAAACTAATCACACTGAATCCACCCTGATTGAGAAGTTTGAGGTGTATCTACTACAATATGAAAGTTTTAAATTAACCAAACATTGCATGAGAGACGGCTTTTCCCTTATCTGACTTTTCTTTCAAATCCTTTTTTGCTATTGACCCTTTCGGTTCCCCTTCCCCCTGTACTGTATGTCCATGTATTATTAAAAAAGCTACTTGTAATTTAATAGATGCAATGCATGTTAACCTAGAACCCTGAGAGCGTCTATAAAAGGAAGAGAAGCCAGACAATAATATGTGCATTTCTACCTAGATATATCTTATTTTCCCTGAGAAAGATGGATAAAGAACATGGCTGTGATATTTCTCCTTCATGGGATAGTGCAGAAAATGGCCATTCTTCTGTGGAGAAGAGGCTAAGGTTATTTGGGTTTGAGCTGAACCCATCTAAGATCAACGATGGCTGTGTCAAAGACCCTGTGGAAGGAGATGAAAGTGTGAACTCTTCAAACTCGGTTTCATCAGGAGGAGAGAAAACTGAACAGCAGGACAAGAGTTCACCTGCGACAAGAGACACCTCAGATCATGAGAGGAAGTTCGAGTGCCAATATTGTTGCAAGGAATTTGCAAACTCACAAGCATTAGGAGGCCATCAAAATGCTCACAAGAAAGAGAGAATGAAGAAGAAGAGGATGCAGCTTCAAGCCAGGAGGGCTAGCTTAAGCTACTACCTTCAGCCTTTTCAAAACAACCCTGGTTTTTCCTTCGATGGCTCTAATTCTCCTTGGTTCTATGACCCCTCTTCTTATAACTCTGGGTTTTCTTCATATGAAGAACCTCAGATTAGCTTCAAAGCCAATGATCAAGACGCCATCAATATTCTTAATGGTTTTGATCAGAAATCAAAATGGAATTCTCATCCACCCCCTTCCCTTCCTTCTCAACAAGATACTTGTATGTTCACTTTATCACACACAGATAATAGGCCTCTCATCTTCCCTGCAGCTTCAAACCAGAGCCACAGTAACAAGGCTCTGGATCTTCAACTAGGCCTCACCTTGCAGTCAGATACAATAGAGTCCCTAAGAAGGATGTAATTTAGTTTAGAACACATAGGAAACGAAGAAAAAAACAACATAGAGAAAATCACAATTCATTATAGCTGGCCGGCCCTCACAGAGGCAATTCATCAGTCACCTAGCGTACAATTCATATATGTTGTTATTAATAGCCTAATGCCAAAACTGGGTTACTTTTGCATCAGATCATGTCTACGTCAGAGCTTCCTCTTTCCTTCTTTATTTACTTTATTTTTCTTTATGTTAAACACTCAAATGCAAAATTAATGTTTGAGCAAATCACCCATGGAGAGAAGTTGGAGAACAGGAACATTAAGATTGATTAAACAACACGTATCTTTTTAAATAGACTTAATTATTCTCATGTCAAGGATTCCCCGTCTGAACTGAAATGTGTATGCTAAGCCTAGAAGAGGAAGAAGAAGAAGAAGACTGCCTTACTGCCCAAGCGGGGAAAAAAAATCTTTCAGAACTCAAGGACGCCTTCTGTAGAACAAGTGAAAAAGGAAATTCATAATCACAAATAATATAATACAAATTAAAATGTTCAAAGCATGTCTTCTTAAAACATATAAAGAAGCTTGTTACAGAAATCAATGCGCTAATTTTTTAACCCACAAAGCTTCAAACGAAAATTTTGATATCACCTTTTTTGACAGTACACTAATAGATTATAGAAGCCTAATGACTATAGATATAACTTAATTTTGATCTTCATATAAGGTTTTTGCCATAGCCTTGTATTTTGAAAAAAAATGTTCTAAACATATAACCTGGCATGGAACATACTACCATTGATCTGTTTTGGACTTTTGTGTATAGTATGAAGTTAATTTTTTTCACCAACATTAAGTTAGAAGTTACTCGAGGTAAATAGTATTGCGATTAACATATAATTTTCAACGTACCAAAATTAGGCTTGTTATTAAACTGTTCAAAAGTGTTGTTTTAAAAATTAATGCTTGAACTCTGATTAAATTAATATTAAACAAAATATTTTATAGTTACTCAAGACACTAATTTAATAATCTATTAGTTTAATCAATTGGATTCACACAGTTTTCAATAATATTCACAATTTTACCTCAAAAAGTAATCTGGAATCACTTTTTTGTAAAAAAATGTATATAAAGTGAAATCCTTAAATTTGACTTACTGTTTGAAATAGGCTCCATAAAAATTATTATTTTTTCTTGTAGTGCATATCGTATATTTATTTAGCCCTCCAATCTACATCTAACCTATATTTGCGTCTCTTTTTACCTCATGTTATCTTCTTCAAGGTCCTAATATTTTATCACTTTCTCCTTCTACTCATTCATCATCCTTCAATGAACTTCCCCAAGAAAGATCTCATCTTAATGTTTTTTTTCCTTAAAAAATTAAATAAATAATTTAGCAGCCATTATTAATAGTTCAGTGTGTATGGTTTTGATGCGTGATGATGTTCTCACTATTTTTTTTTAATATCAAAAACTCACAATTGAAGTCACATAGGCGAATAGATTGTTATCCACTTGATTTAATCACAATTCAAAATAACATTTACTTTTGTCGTATCTCTCATATCACTGTCATTGTTATTTAAAATTAAAATTTTAAAGCATTTTTTACAGGAAGAAAGATCATCCGTAATCTTTTTTTATATCTGAGCTATCACTTAATTAAAGAGATTCCATGCACGTTCCAATACAAGAAGGAAAGATACTTAATCCAAATAATAATAGTCATCGTAAGATTAACCTCATATTTTAAGAAACTCTCATAGATTTAAGTTACTAATTATATAAAAAAAAAATTGTTGGCGTTCTGCATTTCCTTAATTAAATCAAAGTCTAAGGTACGTATTATTTAAATTAGAGCAAATTACATATTTTGTTCTTGAATTTTATTGAAATTACATAATTTTTTTGTAATTTTATGAGTAGAGAGTTGTTTAATCTAAAGAATTAAAAACAAGCCCAACTAATTCAGTCAGTATCTTTAGGAGTTTTGGTTTAGTTTTGAAAATGAAAAAAAGATATTCACGTAATTTTATCAAAATTTAAGAACATATGTATCTATATATATGTATTGATTCTAAATGGAAAGAAGGTTCATATAATTTTAATAAAATTAAGGACAAGACTTGGCAATTTAATCTTTACTCTATTTAATTATGTGAATATATCACAATCATGCACGTTTTAATATTGGGCGAAACAAAACACATGAGACCGAGCAAAGCAATCCTATAATTATTATTTTCCATTCTTTAGGTGACCAGCCGCCGGGGAAATGCTAGAATTGCTTTTTCTCGAGTGTTTTTTTTTTAATTTATAATTTATAATTTATTTACTTGTAGACATATTTATAAAGTGAAGACGAAGATTGGAAGATTGAAAGTCATCTGCTTCTGATGATGGTGGTTGAACTTTGATTTGAATAAATGGAGGTGTTAATTAGTTTTAAAATAGAGTACTAATCTTACAGGCAAAAGATGACAGCACGATCAAAGTACTCTTAATCATATCGTTTCCATAATTTTAATTTTACTTCATCTTTTCTGTTTTTAGTAACTTTTGTACATTTTTTATAGGAAAAATCACAAGTAAAGAACTCCAAATATCACAAATAATCAATCAAGACCACGAAATTACAAAATTATATTTTAAGACCATGTTTTTTTGTAGTTTTAAAAATAATACTTTGATTAAAATGCTTCTATATAAAATTCAACTTAAAATTTACTAGTGTTGAGATCGCTTTAATTGAAAAAAAAAATTAGTCAAAAGAGATTATGAAATTGTTTTATTTAAGGTCTTGTTTTCTTATTAGAAAAGAATAGAATGAAATAAATTAAAAAAATAAAAATAAAAATAAGATGATCAAAAGAGATAAGTGAACATATTCATAAAGGAGAAGAGTAATTTAATTCATAAGATTAAAAATCATGATTCATGATATTTTTAGATAATGTCATAATTTTTGTATTTATAGTATATATTAATAAATTTTATTATGCCTTACTATGTGAGAAGGGTGATTTAATTTATTTTTATCTTAATTTTTTAATTCATTTTATTTCATTTTTTTCTAATAACCAAATGAGACCTAAGTTAAAATTTTTTAGTTCTAAACTTACAGTTGACCAACTTAAAATTTGCTAGTATTAAAATCATTTTAATTATGTTGGAAATTTAGTTGTAGAGGCTATGAAATTACTTTATTTGAATTGAAAATAAAATTATTCTCAAACTTGCAAACTTGATCACCAGAGATGGGTATTTTCGTCAAATTTTTACTTTTAAAACTACAAAAAAGGACTATGGTCCTAAAATTTAATTTTATAATTTTGTGGTTCTCATGGGTTATTTCAATATTTGGAGGTTCTGGTTGTGATTTTCCTTTTTTTTTTATTGTATTTGGTTTAGGTAGTATGGAAGAACAAGCATTTAAAATATTTAGTTTAGGATTACCCAAAAAAAAAATTATTAGTTTATGAAGTGTTCAGCATACGGATTTTGAGGAAGGAAATTAAAGTACTCAATGTTGGCCGTGCATATTTTTTTTTTAATGAAAGCTACTTCAACAAAAATTTGGAAATTTTCAATTGAAACAGAGTTCAGTTAACACAATACAAAGCAAAAATAACTTGGAATCTTGGATGTCTTTTCATCACGTACATTATCTTCACCACTAGGATTTAAATTCTCTAAAGTTGAGATCGGTGAATTTGATTAAGTTTTCTTTTTTTAATATTTTCTCTTATTTTATTATTTTTTTATAAAATATAAAATCTCTTTCTTAAAAAGGGAAACTTCACATTTGAAAAATATGATAAATAATTCTTAAAATTTATAATTTTACTTATAAAAAAAAAGAGACATGTGACAGTTTCTCTTATAATAAAAAATATAGAAAATATACAAGAAATTTGAGTATTAAGGTATCACCTTGAAAGAATCAAAATTAACCCTTGGCTTGTATTTGCTTGATTTTATATGAAAATTGAGATGTAAGAATGTTTTCTCAAACGACGCGGATCAAAAAAGTGACATAGCTTTTCTTGAAAGGATATCAAAAAAAGATTCCCACGTAAGAAATTAAATTTCTTAAAAGGATTGTCTTGGGGGTGACAAACACATCACAAAAGCCAAAAACAACTTGTAAAATGGACATGCACTCTAGATGGACATCATTATTTTAAGCACCATGACTTAACTGCTATATGAGATAAGGGTTATTCATCATCATAATCAAAAACAATGAAGGTTTTCATAATATATATTAATTACTACAAATGCTAAGGCCTAAAATCTAATTTCTTAAGAATTTGAATTCATTGCTACTTGTTTATGAATTTACATGTCTATATGATATGATATATAGTTGTTTTTATCAGTAATTAATAACTGATCAGCCTGGACAAAATAATCAATTACTACACACACAATTATACTTTCTCCATGATTATGAGCATACAAAGAATTTGGTCCCAAAAAAAAAAAGGAATTACTGTTCTTCGTGATAAGCATGCAAAAGGACCTTTTATGAAATTTAAAACTTTACTCTGAATGTTTCTTGCAAGTAACAAGCAGATATCTCTTCAGAGTCATTCAAAACTGGCGCTACGTGAAGAGAGAGACCAAAAAAGCATTTCATCTCCTTCTGAAAAATATTGAATTTGGTCAAATTTGTCCTATATTTTTTTTTATTTACAATCGACTGTTATAGATTCATAATTTCGGGATATTTATGGCCCATACATCTAAATAGGCTTGATCTTAATTTTTATTTAATACATTTTTTCTTGTTTTTGGACTGAAGTCCTATTAAATACTGGTTTCAATAATTTTCTGGCATCACTATTATATTTGAGTCAATAATAAGTGTAATTATAATTTTGTCTCTTTTGATTTAATTTGTTTATATTTGAGTAGATAATATATTTTATTGGCCAACCTAATATAATTTTTTGAAAAAAAAAAACATAACAAGAAAGACATTGCTTGACAATATTATTAATTGTATTTGGTATGAAACAGCGCCAACTCATTCAGCATTTTATGTAATGGATAATTTTGTTGAACTATATTTTTTCTTGCAAATTAAATAATCATATTTTATACTCGATTTGAATTATTTTCCTTACGAGACTTTAGAAACATGGCTTTTAGTAAATCCATGCATTTGCTCAAAGAA